GGAGGAGGAGGAGGAGGAGGAGAAGGGGTCGCCGTCATCGCCCTTGCCTTCGCTGTTGCTGTTGTGGACTTAGCCATCATCATCGCCGGTGGCGGTGGCGGTGGCGGTGGCGGTGGCGGTGGCGGTGGCGTTGGCGGAATCTTCATACCCTTCAATCCGGGCGGCGGCGGTGGCGGCGGCGGCGGCGGTGCCTTTCCTGTGGGCGGCGGTGGCGGCGGCAACGCAGCTGGCGGTGGGAACTCCGACGCAGCAGCGGGGGGAAGCAACGACGGCCGCGTGGGTGCAGCTTGTGGACCGGAGGTGATTGCTAGTGTGTGTCCATGCGAGTTTCTACCGCCACGCGGAGACCTCGTGTTCTCTGTTGCCGTCTCACTCTCCTCACCAAGCCGCCGCTGCCAGCTGGGCGCAATATTATCCCCGGCCTCCAGCGTGTACGCGTGCCAAGCAACTTCGGCGATGCCCTCCAGTGGCAGATCCTCAGGAAGGTCATCCATGAGGTTTGCCACCTCTTCCATGAGCGGAACAAAGACGTACTCATCAGAGGAGAATCGCGTCATGTAGTCTCGGTGCACATCGGCTGCCCCACCCAGCCGCCGCCTGGTGGCTACCACACGCTCCTCCCTCTGCTGTTTCAGGACATCTAACTCATGGTACTCCCTGTAAAGGTTTTCGCGTGTGTTAAATAGCAGCAGTGAGCTGACACTCATCAGTTGCCGCGGCAGACGTCCGAGTCCTCTTTCCGCCACGCTGTGATACTGCCACGATGCCGCCAGCGGCATGGCGTCAGCCAACCCCGCGCGGCGCAGTGGGTGCTGCGGTTTCACTGGTCCCTGCACCTCCACCGTCCCCTCGAGGCGCCGAATGGGCCGCTGGTAAAAATTGTCGCGCTCCAGCTCCCCGCGCCGCTGGTGACCATAGACGCTACTGCTGTCATGGCTTTCAATGCCAGCGCTGCTCTCGTCCTCTACTGAGGCTTCCGAGTCAGAGTCGACGTCATCCACGGGGGGCAATGCAGGCAGAACGTGACGCCGGCCTCGCAGCAGATACTCCCGCGTTTCCGCTGGGGCCTGCACTAAGTGAATGGGACGGTAGCAGTGCTTAGGAAACCTATACCGGCTCTTCACCACCATCGCCTCGCGGCGCCCGTGCAGTTGTTGGACACGTGCAGTACAGGTTTCAATGCGTTCCTGAAGTCCTTCTAACGTCTCACGAGACTTCTGAACGGCGGATTCGATGTTTCCAAACACATGACTACACGTTTGGTCAAGTTGTTCAAGGGCGTCAATCACAGACAGCATCGTCAGACAACCGCCGTTGGTGAGAGGAACAGGTACCACATGCCCATACATTGTTTTGACGGCATCATTGTACATGAGCACGTGTAACCCCCAACACCAAAACCAGACCAAACACCCACCCAGCCCTAGAGCAAAAGTATCACACAGCTCCTGTCGCGCTAGAGTCAAGAAGAAAAGGAAGAAGTAGAAAACTATTGACTGCCGCAGGAGCCGCCCACCCCACGCCGAGACGTTGGCGGCAAACGCAAAACGAAGGCAAGCAAAGCTCAGCAGCGCCAAAAAGCAAATAAAAAGGAAGCTCTAAACAGAGAAACGAAAACCAGCAAACATAAATAAGGTGGTTGTGGCTCACGCCATCAGGTTGCGCTGCGTGATCTTGCCCTTGGGGGTGATGAGCTTGACGTGGATGCCGCGCTGCTGCAGCTTGCCAGCGTCACGCAGCGCCTCGTACTGGGAGCGGAGAATGTCTGTGAAGCCCCAGTACTTGGACATGACGACGATCTGGCGGCCGGGGAACTTCATCTTGGCGCGACGGAGAGCCTCAGCGCCTGCGGAACGTACCCTCTTCGTGCGCATCGACAAGAGGATCGTGGCCG